TTCTGTCCAAAGAAAATGAAAACTAGTCAAAGTGAAACTTGTGCCTCTATCTGAGTGAGGATTCACTATCTGAGACAGTAGAGCATAAACAACTCTGTTTTTGCACCAAACAGAAGCACGAAGCAGCGCTGCTTCCATTGGGATTCGTGTCCTGATCTGATCTGTCAGAGTCGCCATCACGGCGGCGTCTGTCGGACCTGTTATACCAGCAGGCAGCTCCTGTCTGTGGACACCAGGAAGTTAGTGACCTTTAGTCAGGATGACGTCCTGACCACCCTCTCCGGGTGTTCCTCTGGCAACACTGTGGAACTTTCACACATCCGACTGGAATGACCGGAATCTAGGTGTCATTTTTACGGAAAGAGTTTCAGCAGTGGCATGAGAAAACCTTCAGTGGTTGCAGAGCAGATGTGGATCTGGATCTTCCGTTGACACATAAATCACATATTCATAGTAAATCAAAATTCGTATTATAGTTTCAATTTAGCAATATTCACTCTGTGGGTTGTTAGTGATTACTGTCTTTAGTCTCAGGCTGAGGGACCTGGCTGGGTAAGATAAGCCTCGGTTGATTTATTGGGATATTTTTAGACCACTCATCACAGTTGAACTTTTTATTACATCATGTAGCTGCATGTCTGTTATCATTCCGTTGCAATCAGACTAGAGTTCCCAGAGTTTGATTTAGAATTAGTTGATGCTATTTCTGGCCTTTTAGTATTGAACGTTTATGACTGTTGATCCCTTCATTCAGTCATTTCCTTCGTTTAGAATTTCATAAGTCGAGATTCATGCAAATGAATACAGGATGTGGTTTTTACCATTTTGCTGGAATAATGACTCACACATCCCATCATCCTCATGACTAAACCCCATCCATACTTTTCTAGATCTGATCCTTGAAGTATTGGAGGTAAATGAGCCAAATGGAGTGAAAGAATACCTGCAGACCTGTCACTGACTGGAAACTCTCAGCAGCAAGTGTTGCCAAAACCTCAACGATTAGCAGACCTGGAGCTGCTTTTGGTTTTTAAGACTGTGTGTCAAATATCATCTCGGAAGAGGACCTGGATGTTATTACTGGCTGCGTATCCTGAATCACTCTCCACTCGGCCACAGCCAGATGGCACCACTCGGACCCACAAAACAGTCTGGGTTTCAGAATGTCAGTCTACGAAAACACAGAAATAACAGAGTGACCTGTGTTTATCTTCCCAAACATCCAGGAAGGCTAGTTTACACTGCAAAGCACAGCTGAGAGTCACCTTTAGATGCTTAATCTTTTCCTGCTAGTCTCTTTCTCTCATTTTTTCTCTTTTCATTTTTATGACCCCCCACAATTCAGTAGCCCAGATGTGGATTCCAGCGCTAGAACCCCTCCAGAGTTCAAAGAGCCACATACAGGGGATGGCTGTACAGCCAATCCAGTGGGTCATCAGATCTTTTCTAACAGACATGGTTGACTCCAAAGATTTATGGCAACATTTTAAGCAAAAAGTTCCTGCAATGAATCTCGGAGAGTGTGATGTGAATGATTACCTAATCTTAGCTTGATATCTGTAATATATAATGAGTAGTGGTTGTTTATGTTTTGCAGAGGTGTGGACTCGAGTCACAGGACTTGGACTCGAGTCAGACTCAAGTCATTATTTTAATGACTTCTGACTTGACTTGATAAAATCTATAAAGACTTACGACTTGACTCTGACTTGAACGCCATGCGACTTGAATCGACTTGCATCTGTTGACTTGAGCATATTTGATATTTTAGCAGAAAAGTGGCACGACATGGACAAAACTCATTAATCATTCTTCGTTCTGGGTTTAAATGCAGCAGCACAAATAAATGAAGCCTTAAGAAGCTTTATTTCTGGAATTTATTTATTATCATTGTCATTAAATTGAAGTTGGACAGATGACTTGATTACGACTTGAAAATTCAAAGTTAAGGACTTGGACTTGACTTGGACTTCCAGATCATTGACTTTGGACTTGACTTGGACTTGGTTGTCTTTGACTTGGACCTCACTCGAGACTTGACTGGAAAGACTTGTGACGTACTTGTGACTTGCAAAGTAGTGACTTGGTCACAAATCAGTGTTTTGGTGCATTTATTAGCTGTGTCCGCCATCTTAAACAGGTGATATTATAATGTTGTGTGTGTGTGTGTGTGTGTGTGTGTGTGTGTGTGTGTGTGTGTGTGTGTGTGTGTGTGTGTGTGTGTGTGTGTGTGTGTGTGTGTGTGTGTGTGTGTGTGTGTGTGTGTGCAGGTGAATTTACAGTTCCCTGGTCTGCAGCCAAAATATGGCATTCACACAGGGGAGGAGGAGGAGGAGGCGGGGTTTCACCAAATCAAAGCATCTTCTTCCAGGTTGAAGCAATGCGTGATGACTATGACTTATATTTCATAAAAATGACATTTCAACAGTGCCAATTGTAATATTTGATCATATAATGTCCCTACAGTTGTCCTCAAAGGTGTAAAATTGCACTGTACAGGCTCTTTAAAGAGCAAGTCATCCCCTACCAGATTCTAATAACTCCACTCCCACTTCATGTTTGAAAAATTTAACACATGCTGTTGCCTGGCAGACCGAGAGGGCGGAGCTGCTAACAAATACACAAACACACAGGCTCACGACGGCATTGTGACATCATAATGTACCAGTTTACATCATAGCATACCTCTTAGCCAATAACGGTGGCAGATTTAAAGTAGAATACAGTGCAGAGTTTTTACCTGACAACGGCACAACACTGCCAGTTTTAGGCAGAATATTTAAATTTTAACTAAGATGCACTGAAGTGCCAAATTATTGACGACACGTGTCTGCAGCACGATTAGACACTCGTTTGTTTAGTTTATCAGCAAAAAAAAGTTTATTTGGGGGTGACTTGCTCTTTAAAGTAAGACTCCTCTACTAGCTAACTGTTGTCAGTGTAAGTTTAGAAACAAAATTGATGAAATAAACACAGATTTCAAACAGAACAAACGCTCTATGATTCACACTGAACCTATAATTGCAATGTTGTTTTAAAAATGACTTGAAATGACTTGGAATTAGAATGTTCAGACTTGAAATTAGACTTGAAACTTGAAGATAACGAGTTGAGGCTTGCTTGAGACTCGCAAAACAATGACTTGGTCCCATTTCTGAAGTGACCCATATTTATGTGACAGCTTGCCTTTTGCCATGAGCCCAGGCATGCAAACATTTCTTCAGAATGAATAAAGCGCACCAGATTTCTACCTCATCCTGCTTCCTATCTCATGGAGCATACCTGGCTTAGCCATCAGTTCAGCTTCTGGAGAAAACCCACGCATTTACAGAGCAAATAGAAACTCCAAACTAAGAGGCTCCATTTGAGTTTCCAACTCCAAACGTTTTTGCTTACTTACTTGACTGGTTGACTGTTGCCAACTTGGATTAACTTTCTCTTTAAACCTTGATCGTAATTTATACAAATATTACTTCTTAAATGTTTCCGCATTCATGAATTTTTTTCTATTTCACGGAAACTGTGTGAAATTCCTTCAGAGGGTGTCTCAGGCTGCACCAGAAATGCTTCAGCTAGCTGCTATTTGCACTGCCATAGATCATTATTTAGTGTGTCTGAAATCAGAGGCCATTACATACAAGATGTGATGTTGTTTCAGATTAGATTAGCTAATTTCATGCTCATATTCATAGTGTCGCTTCAGAACAGCCATGAATAAAAAATGCTACCTAAACATCCTCCCAGAGGAACACCTCCAAGCATCCAGTAACAGGTCACTGACGAACATTGTCCTCTCCAGCTTGATGGGCCAGAATGATAAAGTCAGATCTTGGTGGATCAGGAGGAGAACATCAGCATGTTGGGTCCAGACCATTATCCCACTGAGAACTTGTGGTCAATCATCAAGGTTCAGGAGGACAAACAAACCCTCCATCAACTCTAACACATTCCAAACACTGATGATGAAGATGAGCTCCAACAGTTAGGATCTGGACTGAAAGCTGACTGACAGCAGATCAGGATTAACTAATGGGGTCTAGAAGATTGATTCTTTATATAAACTAGACTTAGACTATTGCAACGCTCTTTTTACTGGTCTCAGCAAAACCTCCCTCTCACGCCTTCAAGCCATCCAAAATGCAGCAGCCAGACTCCTAACCAAATCCAGCAGACGAGCTCACATCACTCCAGTTTTACAGTCCCTCCACTGGCTCCCGGTAGAATATAGAATACAATTTAAAGTTTTAGTGCTGACCTATAGAGCTCTTAACAACCAGGCTCCAAGCTACCTATCTGAGCTTTTATCCCCACACACCACCTCACGGAACCTCAGATCCACATCTGAAAACCTCCTGGCTGCTCCTCGGACCAGACTAAAAACCAAAGGGGACAGGGCCTTTCAGTCTATTGCCCCCAGACTTTGGAACAGTCTGCCTTCAAATCTCCGTCTCTTGAAATCTGTAGAGGTCTTCAAAAAACATCTTAAAACTCACCTTTTCATCCAGGCTTTCCCCCGCTAAATATTCTAAAAGATGGCTTTGTTCTTGTTCACACCTTGACTTTGTTTTTACTCCTGATTTTGGTTACTATTGTTGTCACTGCTGTTGTTTTTATGATGTTTTTATTGGTTTGAGGTATTTGCCCTGATTTTACTGATGTTGTACAGCGCTTTGTGATTTATATCTGTGAAAGGCGCTCTATAAATAAACTTTTACTTACTTACTTACTAAACTTTGAGGGCTGAAATTCTGTAAATCCTTTTCTTTTTATATCTTAGGTGTGTTCTTGCTGTGCATTATTTCTAATTCCATGTTGTCGTTCTTTTATAAAACACAGAAACGGTTTTGTTACCTGTTATTGATGCTACAGTTTCGCCGACGGCTGCCGGCTTCTTCAGGCTGACGCTGATGGTGGCGCGTCACTTCCTTCTCCGTTTATCTGCGGGCAGCAGAGGACGTTGTCGCCCTCTACTTTTTTTTTTGTCAACCTCAGTCATAGCAAACAGAACATCATGATTTAGATTTTTTCCTGTAATCAGAATTTAATTCTTTCACTGTGATTCATGAGCATGATCAGAAGATGAATCCTGGAAGAACCTGGTTCTTTGGATTTAGCTGAAATGAGCTGAGCAGCTAAGTTTGATTTACAGGGGGAAAATTAAATTATGGTGCAAAAATGCATTTATTTCAGTAATCCAACTTAGACTGAGACCATTTAAAGGCTCAGGAACTTTTTGCAGGTGTGTGGGACTCGTTAGACACGTTGAGCCGAGAATATTCATGTAGAATGTGTGGTTTTCATCAGCTGTAAGCCACAATCATCACAATTATAACAACTAAAGGCTTAAAATATCTAGAATTAGTCTATCTCATACATCCGTTTCACCTTTTGAGTTGAATTACTGACAAAAAATGTACTTTTGTCCCATTTTCAGAATTTTTTGCATTTGTTCTGCACAAAAACATCAGGAGGATAAATAAGAACTCTCACCGCTAATTTCTGGATGTTATTTAATTCAAAGACAGCTCAGCTAGCGTGCTCTTCCTCCTCTTGACTCATGTGGAGCTGTGCAAACCCACTGTGGCACAAATCTGGAGAAGAGAGGGAGGAGTGGGGCAGCAGGGAGGAGGAATGTGAAACATTTCTGATGCTTGTTGGGTGGTTGTTTACGCGGGAGTCAGCCTGTGACATCAGAGTCCAGACTTTATAAATGTCAGCAAGCACAAGAATGAGCAGTTAGCAATCGGCTATTCCAGCTGCACTACCCCATCCTCCATCAGCAGCTCCATCCCACATGGACCAACGTATTGCCTTCACCATGCTGCTGTTTGGGGTCGCACAGGTGAGGCCGGCTGTTGTTTATGTAGTTTTCTGTATTAAAGTGTTTAACGGTGGGTCAGTCAGCTCCTGTGGGGTTTTCTTTTAGCAGAAAGGTGGACGGTTTAATCATTCATGTTTTAGTCTTTGTGGGAATTTTATGTTTTTAAATAAAAGAAGCCGTTTCAAAACCATCCGTCTTCACAAAAAGTGTCAGACACCTCATCCTGTAAAACATTTGAACCAAATTAGTTCAATCTGAGTAGTTTGTGTTGTAAGTTGTGAAAGTAACGCAAAGTTTGTGTCCTCCAGAATCAGACATCATAGAAACCAAAGCAAGAACTCTAATTACTGGTTGTTGTTGTCATTGTTGCTTAAAAGGATATCTGGTCTTTCTCGAAATGTGTTGTGTTTTAGTTCTTGAACAGACTCAGTTTAGAGAAACAGCATGATGACGAGTTTGGACTCCAGTGGAGACAAAAGTGTTTTGCTGCCAACCTGAAATATTGAAGCAGTTCAAGGAATGTTTTATAGAACATTTAAAAAGTCTTTACGCCATTAATGTAGCCATCTGAGTTTCTCTAAATGCACACATGTGAGAGAAGTTTGTTCCCAACACAACTCAGCCTGATCCCTGGTCAGTTATTTTCTCCCACACATGAACTTTAGCAATCGCTTTAGGTAAGACCACTGAGGAATTACGTGAAAAAATGTTTCTTTGATAAAAACAAACTATCAGTAAACGTGGATAAAATTGGCATTTCACGAAAATCAAAGCCTATCGTCAACAAGAGAGCTCCCATTACTTTATCCATATTTGAAGTGTGGGGTGCTGTCCACCCAATAACAACAGAAAAGGCCTGTTAGAATAAAACTGCACAAATAGTTTTTACAGCCAAAAATAATTGACTTCTTAAAAAAGAATGAAAGTAGTTGTTGAAAGGGAAGGGGAATTCAAACTAAGAGTAAAATCGTATTTTAAAAATTGTAACACCAGAACAACGCTAAAAAGTGTGTGTACGTTTACAGCAGGAGTTAAATTAAGGGACAGTAAGAATTAAACAGAGTAGACTCCAAACACCAAACAAATGTTACAGAGAAGGATGAGCAGGGGCGGAGCTTGATATGTGCGACATGTGCGGCCGAACAGGGCGGCAGTCTGCAGGGGGGCGGCATTTAATTTCCTTATTTTTTTTTTAGCATCAACCAATACATAAACAAAACATAGAAATCGCATGTTCTTAATAATAATAGTGATGATAATAATAATATTTCTGTAATAAAAGCACAACAAAGTGTAACCCATATCAACTACTCCCTGTCACATGACCCACGTCAGCTGATGTGAGGTCCCTCTCCTGATTGGCTCCTTCCACATCGCGGCAACCATGAAAGCTGCTCCTGCCGTGGCTGTAAGCTTGTTGCTTGTAGAACGGCGTTGGAAAACAAAGCGTTTTTCTCCCCTCAATTCATTTATACCCTCATTTAACCTCAGCGGTAAGTGGGGGGGTGGGGTGTGGGGGGGGGCGTCACAGGGGGATCTCGCACAGGGCGCCATTTAGGCCAGCTCCGCCACTGAGGATGAACTGCCATTTTAAAGAAAATACTAACCTGTAAGGATAACGAAGGGGGTTCGGCTAAATGAGTGTATACTTCTACCACCTTCCTTTCAGATAAATACCCATGTAAATATGCATTATACTGAATGAAGTGCTCTGAAATGTTAGAGATTAAAACTCTTGTCTTATGGAAATGTAAACACAAAACAACACCGCCTTCATGTTTCAGCCGTTCCCAAAACGGGGAAAAGATTGTTCTTGTAATATTGGAGGAACAAAATCTGGAACAATTCCAAATGCTAGAGGTGCACTTTGACAGCTGTTCACATCTGGTGTCTGTGGTAAATGAAGGACCCGGCCTATGTCTACCCTACGTCAGCCGGGTCCTTTGAAAGATGCAACCCCTGAGTTTGGACACATGCAGCCATTAGAACGAACTCAAAGGCATATTTCTTCTTCACCATTCTGGTGTTTCTTTCATCTTTTTTTGTTTTTGATCCAGCTGGATACTGAGGAAAATCATTTTTTAAAGCATCTTTAGTACTTTTCTGCTCTGGTTAAAGGATGAATGAGAATGTCCAGGTCTGCTGGCTCCATTCCACACATGTATCCTCTAAAGTTTCACTTTCAGAAATCAGTTAAAAAACTTCACTCATTCTTTGCACATTTTGTTTGTTTGTCCCTATAGGTGGTGTCTCGGGTGTGTGACCGGCCCTGTCTATGTCCTGGTCCTACCCCTCAGTGTCCGGCTGCAATCCCGCTTATACTGGACGGCTGCCAGTGCTGCCAGGTGTGCGCCCGGCAACGAGGCGAGCCATGCACTGAGATGTTGCCCTGTGACAGACAACAAGGTCTGCAGTGTGACTACAGTGCCAGCTTCCCTGGAGACCCTGGGGTGTGTATCGGTGAGTAGACAAAACTCTGCTGGGGAAGATGAGCAGGAGACACTTGATGTTTAGAGTCTGTGCAGCCAGGCAGGAATGCTTGATTGGGACAGTGATCTCCCTGGAAGTCAAAAAGTTTTTGACTTCCATGGATTATTAAGGAGTTGGCAGATTTTCCAGTCATAAGAGACCACACACACGGTGATCAACAATCAGATGTGCTAGTTTTGGTTCTACAGCGTGTCTTGTGCAGCAACTCGACAAATACACACTACACACCAACAGGTTTCACATACAAACATTCCTCACTTCGATGGGAAGTCTCTCGAGATAAAACGTGACTTTGAAGTGGTTGATGAGGACTGTGCTTCCGTCACCTCACTTTCTGATTGGCTAAACATCACATTGAAAAAGCAGTTTGTCCCCAAAAGTCAGGCCAAGATACTCCAACGTGTATTAAAGCCTAGATTTCTGCTTCAGACCAGACCACATTTACCAAACCACAAGACATCTTTAGACCTTTAGAGACAAAATGATAATCATGTCCAGTGTTGGGAGTAACGCGGTACAAAAGCAATTAATTACTGTAATGCATTGCTATTTTCTGTAATGTGGTAATGTAAGGCATTACATGGAAAGAAAATGGTAATATTTACTCGGTACGATTGTCAATAACGCGGTAATTACAATGCATTTTTAAACCCAGAATCAAGATGTGGGTGTCTGAAAAATTCAAATTGCGGGAAGCCTGAAAAAAGATCTAGTATCCACATATATGACGTCATATATGGACTCAGATTTGCTGCAGATATTCTCTGGTACTTCACGTACTTTTCAGCTGAGTTCATAATCTGTGCCCCGGTAATTTCAACTCATTGCTGCTGGAGCGCAGCGCATATTAAGCTTTTTTATTTATTTATTTATTTTTATTTTTTTTTTATTTTTGCATTCGGTAGATCCCTTTGGCTGATTAGTTAGAAAGTAGGAAATCTAGGAAACAGTTTTTCTGGAAGACGGAGAAAACATGCAGCATGGAGGAAGGTTAGAGAGAGAAAGGGCCGGAAATTATTCAAATAAAATCAAAAAAACAAAACAAAGTGCTTAAAAAGAGAAAAGTAGGTCGATTTTTCCCCAATACACATTTTGTCATGGTCTGCGTCTGTCTTCCCCATGTGTCTCCTGGTGTCCTCCATCCCTCTCTAGATTCCCTCTTGTGTCTCTTTGTTCCCCAGCTCCTCTTGTGCTCCACTCCATGTTCTCCCCTTGTGTTGTAGCCCTTTAGCGCCCTCATGTGTCCTTGTCTGTATCCCTGTTGTGTGTTTTATGCTGTAGCTCTTTGGCGCCCTCATGTGTCCTTTTTCTGCGTGTCAGTTTAGTGTCTTATGTTTATAGTCCTTTAAGTCTAGTCCTCCCAGGTTTTGTGTCATCTCATTCTTCCCCAGGTCCTCCAGGTCTCGTTTATATTCTGTGTCCTTGTAGTCCCCAGCTTCCTTGTCCCCAGCTCAACGTGTGTGTGTGAGATCCAGTCTCCTGCTCAGTTTGTGTGTTTCTGTGTGTGTGTGTGCTTGTCCATTCCCCTTTCCCGTTTATATATTAGTGCCTTGGTGTGTGTGTATTAGTCCTTCCCGCAGCCTTTAGATTTAGTTTTGGTGTCTTAGAGTTTCTTAGGTTTATTTGGCCCTCCTCTGTTTCTGTTTGCCCATTTTGATTATTAGGTTCACCTGTCTTCCCTCCAGCTCACTTCACACACCTGCTCCCATTTTCCCTAATCACTTCTCCCAGCGTATTTAAGCCCTGTCTGTCTCTGTGTTCTGGTCGGTCCATTGAATGTTTGTTATTCTGTCAGTCTCGTCTCGTTTGGATTACCAGTGTTCTTTGCCCCTTGGACTTTCTAGAGTTTTTGATCTCCAGAGCTTATCTGGAATTTTGGACTTCTGGCTCGCTGCCTGGATTTACTTTTGTTCCGCCTTCAAAATAAAGAATTTTACTTTTCATCATCTCTGCCTCGTGTCATCCTGGGTAACTGCATATTTGGGTCCTAACATCCTCAGAACGTGACAGAATGGACCGACCAACCAGGACCCAGCGGCCACGGATGTACACCTTCCACGGCGACCCGGACTCCTGTAAGACTTTTCTTCTGGACTTTGTTAGGCTTCATGACACGGACACGCCAGACATTGATCTGGTAATTAACCTGGTGTTCCTCCTAAGGGGGAGAGCTCTGCAATGGGCCAGCCTATATTTTGATCAGAATCCAATTCAGGAGTTGGTGTTTTGGGACTTCGCAGAGGATCTGCTGGACGCCTGCAGCAGCCCACAGTTTCCCTCCTTCTCTGTGGATTATAATCCATCAGCAAGCGCCATATTAAGAGCTGCCTTCTCAGCATCTAAAAAGCACCACGCATCCACATCTGCGCCTGGTTCTGACAGCACCACCACTTCCTCTACGGTGGGCTGCCACCACACTTCTCCAACTGTTCCTGCCGTCTCCATAACTCAGCCTCCTATGGTCTGTGTCACCACACCTCCACCAGTTCCAGAGAGCTCTACCACACCCTCACCTGGTCCCGACAGCACCACCACTTCCTCTCTGGTGGGCTGTATCTCATCCTCAGTGCCTGCCAGCGTCACCTCCACACCTCTGTTGACCCAAGACTCCCCACGTCGACGACGTCGCCGCAGCCGCCGTCAGAGGTCTTCTGGGGCAACAGTTCAGGTGGCTCCTGCTCCAGCGGTGGTCCCGAGGGTCGCATCGCGTCCTGCTCCAGCGGTGGTCCCGAGGGTCGCATCGCGTCCTGCTCCAGCGGTGGTCCCGAGGGTCGCATCGCGTCCTGCTCCAGCGGGGGTCCCGAGGGTCACTTCGCATCCTGTCTCGACGGTGGTCCCGAGGGACGCATCGCACCTCGCCTCAGCGGTGGTCCAGGTGGACGCATCGCACCTCGCCTCAGCGGTGGTCCAGGTGGACGCATCGCACCTCGCCTCAGCGGTGGTCCAGGTGGACGCATCGCACCTCGCCTCAGCGGTGGTCCAGGTGGACGCATCGCACCTCGCCTCAGCGGTGGTCCAGGTGGACGCATCGCACCTCGCCTCAGCGGTGGTCCAGGTGGACGCATCGCACCTCGCCTCAGCGGTGGTCCAGGTGGACGCATCGCACCTCGCCTCAGCGGTGGTCCAGGTGGACGCATCGCACCTCGCCTCAGCGGTGGTCCAGGTGGACGCATCGCACCTCGCCTCAGCGGTGGTCCAGGTGGACGCATCGCACCTCGCCTCAGCGGTGGTCCAGGTGGACGCATCGCACCTCGCCTCAGCGGTGGTCCAGGTGGACGCATCGCACCTCGCCTCAGCGGTGGTCCAGGTGGACGCATCGCACCTCGCCTCAGCGGTGGTCCAGGTGGACGCATCGCACCTCGCCTCAGCGGTGGTCCAGGTGGACGCATCGCACCTCGCCTCCGTGATGGTCCAAGAGGACGCTCCCGTCTCGGGCCCCCAAGAGGACGCTCCCGTCTCGGGCCCCCAAGAGGACGCTCCCGTCTCGGGCCCCCAAGAGGACGCTCCCGTCTCGGGCCCCCAAGAGGACGCTCCCGTCTCGGGCCCCCAAGAGGACGCTCCCGTCTCGGGCCCCCAAGAGGACGCTCCCGTCTCGGGCCCCCAAGAGGACGCTCCCGGCCCGAGCCCCGAAGCGGACGCTCCCGGCCCGAGCCCCGAAGCGGACGCTCCCGGCCCGAGCCCCGAAGCGGACGCACCCGGCTCGAGCCCCGAAGCGGACGCACCCGGCTCGAGCCCCGAAGCGGACGCACCCGGCTCGAGCCCCGAAGCGGACGCACCCGGCTCGAGCCCCGAAGCGGACGCACCCGGCTCGAGCCCCGACGCGGACGCACCCGGCTCGAGCCCCGACGCGGACGCACCCGGCTCGGGCCCCGACGCGGACGCACCCGGCTCGGGCCCCGAAGTGGACGCACCCGGCTCGAGCCCCGAAGTGGACGCACCCGGCTCGAGCCCCGAAGTGGACGCACCCGGCTCGGACCCCGAAGTGGACGCACCCGGCTCGGACCCCGAAGAAGACGTCTCGAGCCTCTGCTCTGAAGCGGACATCTCTGTCTCAAGTCTCCCCACACGTGTTCCAGTTCCCCAAGCCTCAAGTGTTCCCATCTCGAGTGTTCAAGTCTCCCAGCCTCCCGAGTCACAAGCCTCCCAGTCTCTAGCCTTCCAGTCACCTCAAGCCCTCCAGTCACCTCAAGCCTCCCAGTCTCTAGCCTTCCAGTCACCTCAAGCCTTCCAGTCACCTCAAGCCTCCCAGTCTCTAGCCTTCCAGTCACCTCAAGCCTCCCAGTCTCTAGCCTTCCAGTCACCTCAAGCCTTCCAGTCACTTCAAGCCTCCCAGTTTGACGTTCCCCAGTCTACGTCCCCTCAAGTTCCCCAGGCTGACGTTCCCCAGTCTACGTCCCCTCAAGTTCCCCAGTCTGAAGTTCCCCAGTCTACGTCCCCTCAAGTTCCCCAGGCTGACGTTCCCCAGTCTACGTCCCCTCAAGTTCCCCAGGCTGACGTTCCCCAGTCTACGTCCCCTCAAGTTCCCCAGGCTGACGTTCCCCAGTCTACGTCCCCTCAAGTTCCCCAGTCTGAAGTTCCCCAGTCTGTGTCCCCTCGTAGTCGTGGTCTTTGTCCAGAGTCCCCTGTTGGTAGTGGTCCTGTGTCCCCTCTTAGTCATGGTCTTTGTCCAGTGTCCCCTGTCGGTAGTGATCCTGTGTCCCCTCTTAGTCTTGGTCTTGATCCTGTGTCCCCTCTTAGTCTTAGTCTTGATCCTGTGTCCCCTCTTAGTCTTGGTCTTGATCCTGTGTCCCCTCTTAGTCTTAGTCTTGATCCTGTGTCCCCTCTTAGTTTTAGTCTTGGTCCTGTGTCCCCTCTTAGTCTTAGTCTTGGTCCAGTTTTCCCTCTCAGTCTTAGTCTTGGTCCAGTTTCCCCTATCACCACACTCCTACAGTCCAGGCTCCTGGTTCCCCGTCGCCGGCCCCCCAGACTCCCACAGTCCCGGCTCCTGGTTCCCCGTCGCCGGCCCCCCAGGCTGACACAGTCCAGGCTCCTGGTTCCCCGTCGCCGGCCCCCCAGACTCCTACAGTCCAGACTACTGGTTCCCCGTCGCCGGCCCCCCAGACTCCTACAGTCCCAGCTCCTGGTTCCCCGTCGCCGGCCCCCCAGACTCTTCTGTTCCCTCCTCGCCCGCCCCTTTTTGGGTTGTGTTTTGTTTGCTCCCTCCTCTCCCTCCCTCTGGTTGTTTCGTGTCTGGTTTTGGTCTTGTCTTTTGCTTGTGGTGTTTGTCTGTCTTGTGGTCGTCTGGTATCCGCCCTTAGAGGGGGGGGTACTGTCATGGTCTGCGTCTGTCTTCCCCATGTGTCTCCTGGTGTCCTCCATCCCTCTCTAGATTCCCTCTTGTGTCTCTTTGTTCCCCAGCTCCTCTTGTGCTCCACTCCATGTTCTCCCCTTGTGTTGTAGCCCTTTAGCGCCCTCATGTGTCCTTGTCTGTATCCCTGTTGTGTGTCTTATGCTGTAGCTCTTTGGCGCCCTCATGTGTCCTTTTTCTGCGTGTCAGTTTAGTGTCTTATGTTTATAGTCCTTTAAGTCTAGTCCTCCCAGGTTTTGTGTCATCTCATTCTTCCCCAGGTCCTCCAGGTCTCGTTTATATTCTGTGTCCTTGTAGTCCCCAGCTTCCTTGTCCCCAGCTCAACGTGTGTGTGTGAGATCCAGTCTCCTGCTCAGTTTGTGTGTTTCTGTGTGTGTGTGTGCTTGTCCATTCCCCTTTCCCGTTTATATATTAGTGCCTTGGTGTGTGTGTATTAGTCCTTCCCGCAGCCTTTAGATTTAGTTTTGGTGTCTTAGAGTTTCTTAGGTTTATTTGGCCCTCCTCTGTTTCTGTTTGCCCATTTTGATTATTAGGTTCACCTGTCTTCCCTCCAGCTCACTTCACACACCTGCTCCCATTTTCCCTAATCACTTCTCCCAGCGTATTTAAGCCCTGTCTGTCTCTGTGTTCTGGTCGGTCCATTGAATGTTTGTTATTCTGTCAGTCTCGTCTCGTTTGGATTACCAGTGTTCTTTGCCCCTTGGACTTTCTAGAGTTTTTGATCTCCAGAGCTTATCTGGAATTTTGGACTTCTGGCTCGCTGCCTGGATTTACTTTTGTTCCGCCTTCAAAATAAAGAATTTTACTTTTCATCATCTCTGCCTCGTGTCATCCTGGGTAACTGCATATTTGGGTCCTAACATCCTCAGAACGTGACACATTTTTACAAGTGAAAAGCAATAATATATAAGCATTTAATATTTATACATGTGATAGAATCAGATCACCCCAGAAGTCAGTCCCACATCCAGGGCCGTATCAAGGCATTTGGGGACCAAGGCAAATATAGGCTTGGAGCCCCCACCACCTCACTCCCTGCTCAGTTAATATAAGATGGCAGCGTGCTGAGAGTACAGATTGTTGTTGCTTTTATTTAATAAACAATCATTTTAAAGCACTGTTATTATATCTGACTGATTTTAACAGCAATCCTAGCTCAGACACCACATCACCTTCCACATATATGTCATGAGCTCACTGAGCGTCAGATTACCAGATTCATATTGAAGTTGTATTGGTGAAAGTAACTTAAAGTAGTGCAAAAGTAGTGTAATGCCTTACATTTTAAAATCAGCAATATTGTAATGTAATGAATTACTTTAAAAATGAGGTAACAAGTAATAAATAATGCATTACAGTTTTGAAGTAACTTGCCCAACACTGATCATGTCCAGGCTCAGGTTTTCAGGGGGGAAGGCACAGGAAAAAAAGAGTATCCTGCTGTGTGATCCGGGCATTGAATAACTGATGCAAACACTCTGTAGTGGTGTCTCTTTGAGCGTGACAGGCTACAGAGACAACACATGTGGACAAAAACAGACGTCTCAGTTTCTCTGATGATAGGCTTTAGTAGGGACAGGAGCCTGTGTGTCCTCTCATCTCCTAATCAGTTTATCTGTCAGACTCTCCCTCTTCGAGTCATGTTCTCCCACATCAAACCAAACCTGTCTGGACTCCATCTTCCACAGGTCCGCAGCATCTGGGCTGTGAGGTCAATGGGATCCATTACAGTGAAGGCCAGTCTTTCCAGCCCTCTTGTGATGCTTACTGTCACTGTCGAGGTGGAGGGGTGTCCTGTTTGCCGGCTTGTCCACTAAATGGCCTTATTCCCACTCCGGATTGCCCCAATCCACAACGCGTCCTTCTTCCAGGAAAATGCTGCAGGGAATGGGTGTGTGAAAACCTTGAGAACACGGTCATTCAGGATGCCATAACAGGTGAGCACCACAAAAACATTTATGTTTGAGTGGATTTTTACAAGTATCAGTAATTATAGTGTTTATATTACACACCAACACACTTTCTCTTATGTGAAATTCCTTATTTGAACCCTTTTATGTGAGTCATCTTGAAGTGGCTTAATTATTTACCATTATTAATTACTGTGAATAACTGATACCTCATCAGTACACATACTCTTTCTCCGGGGCACCACTCCCTTGGAAATCACCTGCTCTTGTCTTCCCACCCTGTGTGATATTTCTATCTGTAGCTGTCTAGCTTAATATGGCCTCTGGAGACAGACTGAGGCCTAGTCCACACGTAGCCGTTAAAAAAAAAAAAAACTAATATCCGCCCCTCCAAAAACTTGCATCCACACCACCTCGTTTTAAAAAAAAACTCTGTCCACACGTACCCGGATAAATACGTTGTTAAGGACATGCCAGACCTGTAGGCGGCAGTACTTCCCCCGTTCTTAACCTCGTCCTTCGTCTGTGGTCTTCCACAAGGAGCAGTAATTCCGCTTGCAAAACCAAACAAGCAAAAAGCGCTTGGACAATTGATAAAGCGAGCGCAGCTCTGAGGGCATCCATGCTGTCGGCTAGTGTAAACACAGGTCGCACACGTGATGTCAGCATTTTTTGTCGTGGAAAGTGACGTTGCAGACCTTAAAACTCCGGTTTTGTCCGTCCACACGCAGACACCCAAAACGGAGAAAACGCAGATCTTCACTTTGGCCGGAGTTTTTAAAAAGATCCGTTTTCGTGTGAAAAAACTCCGTTTTCGTGTGGATGACAGGCCAAAACGTAGAAAAATATCTACGTTTTGGCAGATCCCCGGCTACGTGTGGACAGGGCCTGAGTATGCCTGTGTCTTCACAAGGCAAAACAGAGAAGTGTTTTCTTACTGCTGTGCAGGATTCACATTCAGCTTCCAACTGTTTCCAAGTTTCGTGCTAATCCAAGCTGTTGCCTCATATTTAGTAGCCAAATCTACAAGTTCTACAGTGAGAAAATCTGTATGACCTAAAAATTCCTTCTATTTCTATTCTCATAGTTTTGATCATGTGAGTCCAGTGTGTAAGGCTGACTCTCCACATCTCAGTTGTTTCACAGTGATGATCAGTTCGCTGATGCATAACAGAATCCTGAAATCACTTTTACGGGCACTGAATCCAACGGTCATGTCTGGAGGGTTTTACTGCTGAGTTTTTGCATTAAACTGGGGTGTGTCCAGCCAGCGGAATTAAGGAAAACATCCAAAGTTCAAATAAAAGCCATTTTCCGTTGGTCAAAACAGTTAGTCACCATGTTTTGGACTTGTTTAACAAAAACCACAGCTAAGAGACAGATACATATTTGAACTGTGCAGTGATTGTTACTCTGTTAAAAGGAGCGTGAGTGTATTTTTGCATGAGACTGGTGTAAGGGAAATGAAACCAGCTTTGAAAACATCTGGACTTTAAAACAGTCACACCCTGTTGCAGAGTCATCAAAGGAACATTTTGTTATTGAAAATAAAACCTGTGATGATCCACTGATCTGTCATAGGTAATGTCTGAGCCAAATATGTATTTGGGGAGTGCAGACACTTTTTTTCCTCCTCTCCTCCTATCGTATCCTCAAGGCCCTTTGTCTGTCTCTGTGCTGGTGCACGGCTGCTGCTCCCGGAGCTCAGAGATGGTTTGCACCGCGCTGTGAATTCACAGACTCACAATTGTCTAGATGAATCGTAAGCTTGGAACTTTGGCCGAGATTCGTGCTTTGGCACAAAAGATGGTTGCCATCAAGGAGCGAGTGGACGAGTCAGCACAGATTGGGATAGATTAATATACGCCATTATTGGGATTTTGAGAGGTTGAGGACCAAGGAACTCTAAGACAGAGAGGAAATTATCTCTGTCTGGCCCCACAACAATTTCTAATCTGAATCTGGTGGCCTTGAGCCTGCAAGGCTCCAATGAATACTCCCCCCTCAAAAGAAATGTGGAATGCTGTCGCTATGGCAACTCTGTCTCCTATCCCAGCCTGGGCGGGACTTCAGGCTGTGAAGGCCGAAGAATCATTCCAGGAGTCACTGCACACTCCAAACCTCAACGACTGAACTGAAGTGACGTGCGCTGCTTATTGTAGCTGCAGGAACTGAAGTGTGGATAGTCCCAACCCCACCACCCCACCTAGTGGACACTTATGTTGTGTAATGTCTGAAGTCTGTTGCATCTCTGTCTGAGTTTTTTTTTTTTTTGCAGAGCGAAGCTGCCCTCCCTGTGGAGGGTAACTCTGAAGTGCCTTTTTTTTCTCTCCACTTGAACCAATCCTCATGTAAACTCCTCTGATCTCCATTACGGCAGCGCGACTCAGGGTTGTGAATGACCACAGTCACCAATTCTTGTCATGTGTCTTGCCCATGTCTGTCTGATCTCTGAATTGTGTGTACTGAAACTAGTTTCCCTCTGGGATTAATAAAGTATCTTTGAATTGATTTGAATTGAATTGAATAAGCATTAAGAGTAAAGAAAGTGAAGATGTTTCATTTGGAGTCTACGCTTATGGCCTTTTTTGTGGTTCACCTTTTGAATTAGAAACATCTAATCAGTTAATCAGATGGCAGCAACTGAACATGTTCAGTCACCTTCATTTTAAAGACAACTTGCTGAAGTTAAACTGTTTGTGTTATAGGCTCCTTTTGTCCACAGCAAATGAGGATGTAACAATGCAGTTACACAGAAAACCTTGCCTGGACTGATGAGTCTGATTTCAGCTGCAAAGTTCACATGCTCGGGTCAGAATTTGGTGTCGTCTATAAAAGCATGGATCTAACCTGCCTTATATCGAGGCTTCAGGCTGCTGCTGCTGGTGTGAGGGTGGTTTCTAGAACATGACCCGCTCCAGTGACCTCCTCAGTCTCCAGAACTCAGTCCAGTCCAGAATCTTTGAGAGGTGCTGGAACAGGAGATTCTCATCGTGGGCGTAACTGTGTGACGCTGTCATGTTATTATGGACCAGAACCTCTGAGAAACGTATCTAATACCTTGTTGAATCTGTGACATGAAGACCTAAGGTAACAGGAGGTCAGCAATAGCAAGGTACACCTTGCTAAAGTGGCCAGTGACTGTAGATGAGACCAGCATTTTTCTAACTCAGCCCTAAGCTCAGTTTTGGAGTGTTGAAAGAAAAAACGGCGGTGAGTCTAACATCATATTAGAAAAAAAAAACTAATGTGTTTTTACTGGAGCGTTTTTGCATTAAAGTAGCTTTCCAGAGTTTTCTACTTTCAGAAATGATGTATGGTTTTTCAGAAATCCATAAAAGCAATTGTCTCGTCTGTACTGTGATAAAATGTAAGCAACACGACTTTTTTTTTTTTACTAAGCACACCCCCTGCCCGACAGAGCTCCGTGCAATAGGAAATTGAGCGCCGACCAGAACTAACCAATAGCGTTAGACTACTGCTCAGATGCTTCAAATTTAAGGAACACCTCGGCTGATGCGGCGTTGATGAACTTTTCACGGACAAGACAGTCTTTAAAATATAAATATATGAAAACACAGCATGACATGAGAATAATACTCATAAAACAACAACGTGTTTTAGATGTTTGTCGGCTACAGAAGCACATTTATAAACAGAAAAGTGAAGTCGCCATCTTAAAAAAAACAGAGCGACAGACATTTTGTGTGATATGTTTGTCAGCCACTAGATGGTGCCATCGGATAAGAGAAATACTCCGAAAAGAGACTAAATTAGGGTGCATTTGGCCCTAGGCAGGGCCAGATTAACACTTTGTTGTACCCTGGGCAACAATATTCAAGGGCCCCATCATCACGACCCAAGGATCACCATAATATGGTCACATACAGAATATTTTACTGTAATATGCAGTAAATATACTCAATACTCGAATGCCTGACATCACGTAACCCGCTCAGGGTAACCTTTGACCCACCTCGTGTGGACTGACCAATGAGGTGAGGGTCTTCACTTGAGGCCCTCTCTTCATTGGTCAGTCTGCATGAGACTGACTCTCAACTGACGTTCAAATTCATAGGCAGCGAAGCGTCTCTGTGCAGCGCAAAAGCCCGGGTGGACAGTTTGTTTAATATAGGGTGACCATATTTCCATTTCCAAACAAGAGGACAGGGGATCTGTGCCTATGACGTCACACTATGGCAACGCCACACAAACCACGTTGGGACCCATTTTTTTGTAAGAACTAAAATTAGCACAAACACACAGCCTGGGCTGTGTGTTTGTGTTTGGATCTTAATCATGGAGTCATTTGGACACAGAGGGCACACAACAAATCCCACAGTGGAATCTGACAGTGTTTCTCTGCTGCAGTTGTTCTGTGCAGTTTATCAAGAGGCAGTTGTTTAGTTTCTAGAGTTAAGTGTAAATAACAAACAAAGATGAATTATAAACAATACTCTGCTAGTAACCATGGCTTTCTGCTAGATAGCCGTGTCACTGCTGGGTGGGTCTGGGGAAACCCAGTTGCTTGGGTTCTGGAGAGAGTTGCCCACACATGCTTGGGCCCTTTGGTGCACCGGTGAACCTCTGTGACTCCTCAGCTAGCAGGAACACTTCTACTGTCCATTATGTGCATACTTTGCAACTTTTTCATATTTTTTAATCATTTTCTTGAGCCAGTATGTGCTAAAATTACCCTTAACAGGGTTAATGATATGTCACTCAGACCCCACTGTGGCCAGAATACCGCACTTGCAACTTCAAAGTTACTGGTGGGGGGAGCTGTGGAGTGGAGTGGAGCTGCAGTTTGCTTCCAGCACATTCCTTGCATGTTTTAGAGAGCGAATATAGCTGATTTAGTGATGAATCCGTTCTCTAGAAAACAGTAAAAGCTGAGGAGACATTTCAGCAGTTAGATTAAGTGAGATAAGTTTAATTTTTGGTATAATCACAGTGAATTAATAACAGACACTAAGGGTGCTAAGAGCAAGCAAGACTGCCCTGGGAGGGGGTAGAACCAAACTTGCATGGCTGTCTAGACCGGAAGGTGACTGGGGAGTAAATATTCTGCCATGGGGCCTAGGGCATTTTGTTGTGATGCTCTTCATGGGATTCTCACACTTGGGGGACCTCTGAATGTCCGGGGATAGCTTGCCTACATGTTTTTCCACACTTACCATTGGACACTCCTACGGGGAAACCGCAAGAAAAGCGCATGTACACACACACACACACACACACACACACACACACACACACATACAAACACACACACACGTGTTTTCAGTAGGTGTTCTCACAAGTATGGACTCCAGTGTTGTCAGACATGTTAGACTGGGCTGTGGTTGGCAATAAAGACACCGTGAAACAATTGTTACTGTTGTGCTTTTAGTAACAATTACAAACTAACAATATTCATATGCTGTCTGTTGCTATGGTATTTTGGTTTTATTTTCACTTCATTTTTTGTTTTTGTTTCTCTTTTTCTTAAGATCTAGAAGTGGATAAATTGTACCTCTTATATTATTTCTTTTTGTTCCCCTCACCTCTCTTCATTTCTTCTTACTATCCCTTTTAATTTCCATTTCTGTCATTTGGGATTTAAAATAAACCAAAAGATTTGTATATCAGGCGCAGCATCATAGTGGAAGCTGTTGTGCTCCACCTGTAGCAACAGTTCTGATTGCTTTACTTCCACACAGGACAAGGGAACAGAACACGGGCAGCTGAATGTTGTTTCCGTGCAGATTAATGTCAGAATAAATAAATGTCTTGCCTCTTGCTGCACATCTGAATAGAGATAAAAAATCTATACTCAAAATCCAGCAGTTTTTTTATGTTTGAAGTTGGTGTGTTATTTGTCAACAGGAAAGCTAGCAATGCTTTCACTATCAAATGATTGTCATTTAGCCTGGTACAATGTGAAAATTGTTTTAGCTGAACTCACAGTTCTTTCTGTTTTCTTTATTTAGCCATGAAACCAGACAGATTGTTGCCAACACTGCCAAGGATTAACCCTTTAAAGAAGCTGCACTCACCAGCCTTCACTTGTGTGGCGCAAAGCACTCGGTGGAGTGACTGTTCCCAGCATTGTGGCGCGGGGTTCTCCACACGGGTCTCGAACCACAATCCTGCCTGTAAGCTGCAAATGGAAACTCGCCTCTGTAAAGTGCGTCCATGTCGTGTGACTCAACCTGTTCCATGGAAAGCCATGGTGAGTTCTAAACGCAAGGATAAGCATGTCTACACCTGCAGGATTTCATAGTTAAAATGTTCATAGTGCAGTCATACTCCTGCTATAGCTAAACTAAACAAAAAAGCAAGTGTCAGATTTGTGTGAGGTCTCAACACACACACACACACACACACACACACACACACACACACACACACACACACACACACACACACACACACACACACACACACACACACACACACACACACACTCATCAGAGCAGCTGTATCCAACGGGCTGGATGCGGAGGTCTGGAAAGCTTTTGCATGGAGTGTTTTTTTCCAGAAGCCACATGTGGACTGTCGTGAAGTTAAAGAAATTCCAGACAGGAAGTGAAACATGCTTAAAGTTAAAGTCCCATCAGTTGTCACACTCACGCATTTGACCCATCCCCTGGGGGAGCGGTGAGCTGCAGACACAGCTGCGCTCGGGAACCATTTGGTGGTTTAACCCCCCAATCCAACCCCTTAATGTTGAGTGTCAAGCAGGGAGACATTGGGTCCCATTTTTTCAGTCTTTGGTATGACCTGACCAGGAATCGAACCCTGGTCTCCCAGTCTCTGGGCGGACCTTCTACCACTAGGCCACTGAGCTGGTTTCACCAAGTTGTATCTGTTTTATGTCAAAATAAAGTTGCTGTTGCCTTGTTTTGTTGCCAACTTTAGTTTTGATATTAATGTCCATCTGGAAGCCATACAGAAACTGGATCCTGTCCATTTTGCATTCAGTGAGAAAGAGACTTTATGAAAACATTATGTAAGAACGGGACATTTCAGTGGTCTGAATAATCAAACAAAGCCAGTCTAGAAGTGTCACCTAGCATAAACATGGAGTGAGAAAAATAGGCACAATTCAGCCACTTACATACATTTCTCAGAAACAAGCTCCTATTTTTAATGTAATCTACTGCCTGCTGATATAATTGCCTGGTGCTATGACTTTAATTAGCAGGTGTGGTACCCAAAACACCAATTTTGATGTTGGAGCAGGCTGGTTTAGCGCTCAAGCCACCGCATGTTTTTCTTCCTTTACTCTGACCATGAATTGTAGTTTAGCTCACCCCAATAGTCTTGTTGCCTAAAGCCAAACGTATCTATACAAATTCTATTTATTTGATTTGCTCAGTATTGTTCCCTATGGTTGGTGAAATGTGTTGCCACAAGTAGTTTTCACACAAGTAGTTTTCACCAAATGTAGACTACATTAAAGCTGTTATAACAAATCTGCAAACAAGCTAGGTGTTGAACACAAACAGGGTCATGGAACACTCACCCCTCCCCTCGGTATCTTCCCTGAGATGCTTCTGCTGGAGCCGGAAGCCTGTGATACTGGACAAAACGAGATAGCGCTAAACACCAGTCATCGTTTTGTTCACGACTTTAAATAACGTTTTTCTTTTTGGGACTCTGGTAGTTTATCCTAAAGTTGAGCCAGATGTACCTCCTTCTCTGATATTACTGAGCCACGAACCTCTCACACCTCTCATTATGCAAGTGCGTAATGAATGGAGGACCCAGGGAAGTGCGGTGGATTGGCGAGATCGACAACTGGATGGTTGCTTTGGGCGCGAACCATGTTATTGGCGGAGGTTTTTATACAAATGAGAGAAACACTTCATAATTTTTTTGTTTTTTTATCTCCACAAAACATTTACAGCTACTACTTTGTTAGAATGTTGTTAGGAAACTAATTTGTTTTCCAAATTTGTTATTGGAGCTGTAAACTTTAGTATCCAGACACATTCTGTCTTGTACAGTCTACATCGTTTACTGAGTTCATTTATTATTTTCCTGTGTTTTTCCTAGAGGGGTCAGCAGGGCCGGTGCGAGGCCAGCTACACATCACCGGGCCCCATCCGGCTCGTGCACCAGGGCTGCTACAGCGTTCGTGCCTACCAGCTCCGGTACTGTGGACAGTGCACTGACTCTCGGTGCTGTGTGCCACACCAGACCTCCACTATACAGGTCACTTTCCGCTGCCCCACCGGCAGACAACTTCAGCGAGCAGTGATGATGATCCACTCATGTGTGTGTCATAACAACTGCCCCTATGCACCATACACTAATCCTGCTCTCTGGGCATACCAGTCCTGATATCTGTTGATGCACAGACTAAATATAATATAAAACATGGCAGAACCATTAATTAAGATCCATTAATTTTCCTCCGCTTATCCGGGTTTGGGCCACGGTGCAGCAGCCTAGGCAGAGATGCCCGGACTTCCCTCTCCACAACCACTTGGTTCAGCTCCCCCAGAGGATCCCAAGGTGTTCCAAGGCCAGACAGGAAAAATAGTCCCTCCATCGTGACCTGGATCTTCCCTTGGATTTCTTCCCGGTTGGACGTGCCTGGAAAACCTCACCGAGGAGGCGCCCAGGAGGTATCCGAACCAGGTGCCCTATCACCTCAACTGGCTCTTCTGGATGTGGAGGAGCAGCAGATCTACTCAGAGCACCTCCCGAGCTTCTCAACCTATCTCTAGGGGAGAGCCCGGACACCCTGTGTAAATAACTCATTCTGGCCGCTTGTTTCTGTGATCTCATTCTTTCAGTCATTACCTAGAGGTTGCCTTAACTGTATATTCTCCATATTTGATTGTTTTTTGTTTTGTTTTTACAAACAGTGACGAAAAAACTGAAAGGAGTCCATCACTTTGACAGATTGCAATTCACACCCGACTAATGCAGGTGCACAGAAATGTTCTAAGTTATGCACAAAATCTATCGCGTAGGTAAAAAAAGATTCCCATCAGAGCATCATCTCACATTTGGACACCGCGCATCACGTTATTGACATCACACTGCCGAGCATGGACAGGAGCTTGGAGTGCATCTGTAACAGACCAGTGAAGTGAAGCCACTGGTGCACAAGAGCATATACATGTGGCAAGGTGGAGAAACGTGGGCCTGGGCGGGATTTGATCCCCAGACTCTCAGGTGAGAGTCACGCACGCTAACCAGACAGCCAAAGGAATAACCCCGTGGCCAAGTAGCAAGGGCGCATGATCGATAGGGATACAGTGACAAGATGCTCACCCTGTCACAAACAGGAGGATTTCCTCCCACTGCAGCGAGTGCTTGTCAGGTCTAGAAACCATTTGTTCTGAGAGTCTTGCTGACTTCTGGTTATTTTATTTGGATAAATGTTCCCTGCTTTCAATACTTTGGCTGAAGTAGCGCTCCAGTTCCCAATGTGGCGGTGGAGTGCGGATTCAGCCTCACCAACGTTTAAACAACCGTGAGTCTATTTGAGACAAAAGTCCAGAACTTCATGACCTTAGACTCTTCAACTAGCCCCCTTGAGACATTTGATTATGCACAAGCATGTGCAGAGTTCAGGTTTATGTGGAGTAGAAGGAAGGTTTGTGTTGGGACCACATCAAGTGAAATGGTCCTACTTTAAGTTGTAGGGTTAAATATTGTTGCTTTTAAGCTTAATATATTGCCTCTACTCATGACCAATAAGCTGTGATGTTCTATATAAATATAGGATATCAACCTTATTAGTCTTTGAATGTTTAATCAGAAGATTCTAGGATTCTTTGCTTTTTTAGGGATCAAACACACTTCGTATCAATTCAGAGAGTCAAGTTTATAAAAAGTAAGAATTTATTTTATAAACAATTAAAAACATGGCAACTAGGGAACACTTTATGTGATGAGTGGATCTAAGTGGATGGAATGTGAGGTGTGATGATGTGTGAATGGGATGTTATCAGAACCCTCGTATATGAATAAACTGAGTTCTGAGTGGGAGTGAATTTAGTCTGCAATTGTTAGTTCTTATCAAAAACACTTTAGACGCAATCTGTCGAGTCTACGTACCCTGATCGAAGACCCCCCGTGGTAGATCCGGAATGTTGAGGTCCGGGGACCCCAGAGGTACCGAAGTCCGTAGAAGAAACCGCAGAAGTGCCGACTTGACCGGTCTCAGGATGTCTTCAGGTCACAACAGTTGTCATTTGAGTCTTAGGAATAACTCTTAAGGAGTTGAAGTTGGTTCAGCTTTGATCTGAAGGAACCGTTTGCGGTCAGCTGTAGTTTGAACAGGTTTTTGACAGCTTGTCAAGAGATGCGGTGGTTAGAGAGTTGTTCCCCGGTAGCCAGTCCGGAGTTCTGCTCAAACTAACAGAATGCTGAATCACTCCGTAAGTGATCCTGTTTTAATATTCTCATATTATGGCCAATCAGGACATGCTATGTTAAAAGGTGTTAACAAACAAACCTCAGATCATCACGCCTTCTCAGATACAGGACGCTCTGATTTGTGGGTAAGAAAATATCTATGTGCAGTGACGTTAACTTTAATTTATATCTTATGAACATTGTATGAGTGTAGATAATGATTCACTTGTTAAATCTAACTTTACTGATCATAATACCAAAATGTTTCATTGTAATAATAAAATTCCTTTCAACCACAGTAATTTCAGCACAGATTAATCAAACATTGATATTAGTATTCATATAAAATTTGTTCATTCAGCCATATTATTATTTAATGATTATTTAACTTATAAGTTGTAAAAGTTCTTCTTTTGTTCTTCTTTTGTCCTGTGAAGCAAGCGGACAGTTAAGGACGCAGCTTGGCAGAGAGGAACCTTGAGGAAGGAACATGATGTTGACAATCAGAGTGTAAACACGCAGTGGCGAATCTTTCCTGCAGCTTGCAAGATCAAGAGAGGCAGAGAGACAGATTCATGTCTGTAGATGAGCGGTCACTGAAAAGGTCAAACTGTAGATGCAAACTGACCATTCCTGGACGTTACAAAGTGAAAAAAGTTCTTCTCAGTAAAAATTTTCTACTGGGGCACTCTGTTCAGCTTGTTTGGACTAAATATTAATTAAAAAAGAATGAAAATGAAATGATATTAAATGCTTATTTACCCGGTATTATTATCTTAAAGATGAAAGTTGGGCAGAAAAAATCAATCATGACCCTTTTTTTTTACCTTGTTGATGGACAACAAAAATGTCTAGTGCAACCTCTGGTTGGAACGTAAATCAACTGGTAAATTGAGAGCTTCACATCCCGGCTCAGCTCTCTCCTCACCATAACTGGCCAGAACACCGCCTGCATCACCGTAGACACAGCACCAATCTGCCTATCGATCTCCCACTCCATCGTTTCCTCATTCCCAAGACCCTAAGGTACTTAAACTAAATGGTAAAGGGCCTGTATTGGGCCATATTGGCCTTCTAAAGTCCTAGAACCCCCCAAGGTCCTTTACAACATAGTCATCCACCCATGCACACACACACACACACACACACACACACACACACTCCTCCACTCACTCCAGCAACTTGTCCCTGACATGGAAAATGTTGAATTGTAAAGGACTTGTATTTTTATTTTAGGACCTTCTAGGGTTCAACAACCCCACAAGGTTCTTTGCAACACAACCAGTCATTCACCCACACACATACATTCACACTCCTGTGGCGATAAGCTATAACGCACTGGGCCGCACTGAAAGCAGCGAGGCTGCCGAGTACTGGCGCCACCGCTCCCTCCGACCATCACCAGCAGGCAATGGGGGCTAAGTGTCTAGCCCAAGGACACAACAGCAGCATTCTCTTCCGGGAGCCGGGATCGACCCTACAACCCTCCGATTGCTGGACTACCTGCTCTACCTCCTGAGCTACTGCTGTACTTCATTGTTCCAGTAATACGAACAAAGTTCCAGGATGATGATTTCAACCCAGGAGGGGGTTTATCCTTACAATCCTGGAAAAGGGCATCGGACGCTGGAAACAAAAAATTTGGACTACACATTTTTACCCAGAACCAGGGATAATATCCCACGCTCGTTTTGACAATCGAACTGTTGGGTAAACACTGTTCTATGAAATGTCTGTCATTTTCTATATCCGTATTTGATTGTCAAAATGAATAATTGATAAAAAGAAATAAAAACTTAGATATAATTGATAATATGCCATACTGAAGTATTTTCCTGTGAGCACATGTTCTTCACTTTCCTTACGTGTGCTCAAGTCTCCTAGTTTAGAAAATCTATTAATGTGCTTCTGATGTTTAATAAGGGCTGTAACAGTGTTTGGTTGACTACCGTAAATCCTCTAACATTGGCCTGCATTCGATTAACTGCCGGGTATCATATTTTGGCCGGTGTCGGAGTCGGCAGAGGTGAATAATGGCCGGTATTTTATTGATGCCGGGTGGAATGTGGTAACAAGCAAGTACGGGGGGGGGGGGGGGGTCATCCGTCTCACTTTTGATTTGCCAGTGATAGACCGCGAGGGTAACTTTAACCGTGCGGAGACGAAGAGGAGGCGAAAATTTGATATCAAGTTCAAAGAGAAAGTGCTGATTATGCTGCAGAACACTCTGGGGAGCAGTAGGGGTTGTATGAACTAGTCACTAGTCGACTTCACTATAGTGACTTTTTATGCCTGTCATCGACTAGTCGCTGTCACGTGATAATGACCGGCAAGATGCAGTCCTCGGAAAAGACAGCAGCCTGCTGTCAGCAGGTGACAAGCTCCTGCGCGTCGGGAGGCAATGCACTGTGCCAGAGCGTCGGTACTGACACCCGCCGTAAAACAGACATTTAACCAAATTGTGACCTTTACCCTCTTGCAATGTAACCTTCCCCTCACCCCCATCCTAACCTTAACCAGCTTGCGCATGCAAAGCTCTGATTGTTGACGCGCTCCAGACATCTGCGTCCTGAGCACGGCCACAGTAACATTATCAAATCAGGTGTCACCACCTCAAAAACTAATTTAACACGCGATCGTTCATGTCGGCTCATTTCCTTTCATGTTTTCTGTCTTTTATTTGCGCCTGAAGCGTTTCGCTGCTGTGGATCGGGGCGCATCACCTGTTTTGTCCTCGGTGACACACCGATCACTGATGCAGCCGCCAAGCAGCGAGCACCCCGCTGTTTAAGCGGTTGGTAGATCTTTTAGAACTGCAGTTCAAAGGTAACTCATAAGGTGAATATATATGAACCCAGGTAGCAGTTTCTCTTTAGGATTGAGAGGAGATGCAGGAAGATAATAAACAGGCAGGACAGAAAAAAAGTCAAATAAAAACAAGTTAGTTTTTGTACCTGGTGGTTGCAACAAACAGACACCATTGAAGGTAATCAGAAGTGAGGAACAGAAAATGAAATAATTATTTTAATGTTTAGAGCAGGAGGAACTCAGAGAGGCTGCAGGCGCATCAGTGAGTTTGCGGCCGCTGCGCAGGGGGAGGGGGGAGATGGCTGAAGCAAAAACGACTGTTGTTAAAAGAAATGTGTTTAACTTTGAAAATGTGGGCGCAATTTTAATTGTCAAAAACTCCAGCAAACCATTAGTTCATTTTGCTCAAATAGAAATAGAGGCCTGCCTCTAATTCTGGTCCTCCTTCCAATAAAGGCCCGGAGCTTGATGAACTTGAGTCAAATACAGGCCCGGGCCTGTATTAGAGGATTTACGGTATGTACAAGAGCTCATGATGCAAATGTCTAAAGACAGTTAAAGTGAATTCTGAGTCACTTTTTTTTCATATCTGACAAACCAGCCAACCAACATTGTTTCCTGGAAATAAATGCAGCATGCACCCTTTAAAACAGGAAGTGTCTCGACTATGTGTGGGCATATTGGTTTTTCTATTTGGAGGAAACACCAGCACATCTACAGGAGAAGACGTACCTACTGCTATCTGGAAACCATGAACACCACAGCTTGTCACATGATCCCAACTGTTTATCCACAGAAGTTCCTGCCTCCTGTCTTCATCTTCGTATTCATCGTTGGGCTGCTTGCTAATGTATGGGGACTGAAGTCTTTGCTGCTCAACTGGAAGAAACTGGGAAATGTCAACATCTTTGTTCTTAACCTTGGACTTGCAGACATCTTGTATCTGCTCACACTTCCCTTCCTGATGGTGTACTACTTTAAGGGAAGTATGTGGATATTTGGAGACGTCTTCTGCAAGGTTACAAGATTCTGCTTCAACCTGAATTTGTACTGCAGCATTGGCTTCCTGACTTGTATAAGCGTGTACAGGTACCTGTCTATTGTCTATCCTCTGAGAGTGAAGGGAAGATTAACCACGACTCACTCTGTGGTCATAACGGTCACGGTTTGGATGCTGGTGGGTGTTCAAAGTCTTCCTGACATGTTCTTCCCTAAAACATCAACAAATGTGTCTGAACAATGTTTTGATACCACCTCTGATGATCATGTGGATGATTACCTGAAGTACAGCCTCAGCTGGACACTGATTGGATTCTGTGTTCCATCCCTCGTCACACTGGGTTGCTACGGACACATGATTGCTGTTCTCTGCTACAACAAAAACATAGATGAGATGCTGAAACAAAAAAGCTTAAAACTACTGATCACTCTGATTCTTCTCTTCTCCGTTTGCTACATACCCTATCACGTGCTCAAGAACCTCAACTTGTGGTCGAGAGTTCTGTCTAGACAGAGGATATGCCCCAAATGGAACAACGGAGTCTACATCGCTCATCAGATAAGTCGAGGTCTTGTGAGTTTGAACAGTGCTCTCAATCCTCTGGTGTACCTCCATGTAGATGAAGATGTTTCAGCTCAGCTCAGTCGGCTCATCCAGAGAGCCTTTCAGGCCCTTTCCCAGTTGACCACCAATACACGGACCGCTCGGTTAACTGCCTTTAGGAAAGTGTGATGTTGTTTTCTATTCATGTTTTCATTTCAGTGCAAGATCCCCATTAAAGTCACCTCAAAGCACTGTAAAAGTTACTAAAATATTGTGTGATCTGAGACCACAAAGTGTTTTCTTGTGTGTTTTAATGTGTTTTTTTTTTCTGGTCAAATTGCAGACGAACTTGTGATTTAAATAAATGGAATGGTGCTTATTAATTTCATGAAGGTTTGTGGGTATTTTTTATTTAGGAAGTCTAAATGCCTGGACTCATCATAAAGAAAAGATAATGTTGTGGGTGTCTGAGATAAAAAAAAAAGAAAAAAACGATTTAAACCAGACATGATGCACATAGCGTGAATTTAACTGATTGACCCAAATGTGTTGCACATCAAAGCAGTTTCTCACTAGCAGCACAGAAAGCTGAGAAATGAGTAACAGTAAACAGATTGGTGTCCGTCTTCACAGGAAACGTTGCTCAAACCTCCACAGTTTCGCCCACTGGCATAGATAATCTGTAATGTTTATGTAGAAAACACATCTGATAATGACACTTTCATGTCAGTAATGACAAAGGCTTTCCTGACATGACATCCCAAAATCACTACATTTTTGTTCGTTTTGTTTTTAGATCACGGGAGTTTGTAAGATCTGAGAACAGCAGCTCGGTGCATAAAGACCATTCTTCTACCATTCTATTGTTTTACTATGAAGGTTATAATAAGAAGGGTGTCGGCTTGACAGAACCTGAAACTACACCACAGGTTCAAAAATTGTGATTTGGGTGTTTTTTATAATCAGTCTCAGTGCACTTTCACAATAAAAGTCACATTTCACGCTTCATTTATCACCTGAGATTGAACAAATAAACTTGGAGGGAGAAAAAAATAGAAGAAAAAAACTCTGCATCTGTAAGACTTGATTGATAAAGACCACCAGGTTGTATTAATGCAGAATGGACGAAATAAAATGAGACAAAGCATGTCTAGTTATTAGTTGTGGCACTTTCAAAAAGTCATACATTTTTTTCTTCTCCTCTTCATATTCCTGCTTTAATCTGAGGATTTTTCATGTTTCCACAAACGTTTCATATTTTTGATGATCCAAACCACAAGAGTTAAAATCAGATTATACTCTGAATCAGAATTAAAAGGCTAGAGATTATTTCAAAAATTAAATAAACTTTAGAAACATTTGGCACAACGGACGGTTCTGATGACAGCTTGTACTTTTCATTTGACAATCTAACATTTTTAAAGATGGTGAATGACTTAAGAGAACTAAATGCTGTTCCAACCTGATTTTATTGCACAGAGACGTTTAGAACAGAATCAGTAAACTGTGCTTTTCACACATGGTTAAACAGAAAACAGATGTCTGAGCAGGACGTCTCTCTTCAGAACGCCCTCCAGTCAACGTGGTCACACACAAAACTGACTTCCTGCAAAAGAGCAACAGAATAGAAGAGGAGAAGCACCACCTAGTGGTATGAGACAACATGAGACGTCCAACGCATTATACAGTTTTTCTCAATTGTTTACACTTATTTCCTGAAAGCATGCCTCATATTCTCAGAACTCTACACACAAATCCAAGAATACACACACAATGGGCAAAACCCCTCACTTAACCTGCAAAAATAAACTTCACATTCAAAACAATGTTATCTCTCCTCAAAATGTGATTTTGTTGTCAAATGACACACACAAGCCATCATATGAATAGACATTTATAAGAACCAGCAGAACACTCGTGCTCAGTGTTAAACACTATGACGAATGGAAAACACGTCTTCTCCATTCATTATAATGACTAAAGCCTTTTTGGTTCAGTGTTACACCTACTACAGACAGTGTATACATGCATGTGTTGTTGTGTGGTGGGGTGAGTACTCTTCATCTCTATAACATCTTTGAGCTCTTCATTTCAGGAGAGGGAGCTCACCAGCTGCAGGGTATTAGCAATCAGCGGCAGATGCAGCTTCTCAGGTCATCTGCAGCAGAGCTCTATTTAAGAGGAGAGGGAACCACTACACAGCGCTGGATGATTAACTACTCATGGTAGTTTTTTGGCCACCCGTTCTAGGTTGCTTGGTTTCTAAATTGATGATTGACTTGGGAAATCTCTTGGATTATTCTTGGACTCTTGTGTTGGATTTTTTGGACTCAAGTTTTGTATCCTCTCTCCAGGATCACTGGACAATCTTCCCTGACGCTCTGGGTTTGTTGGATATTATCCTCCATCCAAGAAGCAGAACCTTACTGGATTACTCACCTGGAAAGAACCATACCTTCCTGGACTTCACGGTTCACCTCTCCTCTTATTCCTCTGCCACCCTGCCTGGCTCCCTCTCCTGGACTCACCCCGTCACTCCACCTGCCCTCCTCGACCTCCTCCACCTGCAGAACTTGGACTCTCTCAGGCTCCAACTACTCTGGGTTTATTCCAGGGACACCTTTTGTTAGATTCCTTAAATAAATCATTGTTTTGACCCCCCCCCCCCCACCCCCCCCCCCCCCCCCGTCTTGTGATGATTCTTCATGTCGTGGGTTAAACACATTCCCAGGAACATGACATGTGTTCTTATTTCAGAATATTGTTTTTACATTCTGAACACACAAATACATGGTAGAAATTTTTTTATTTTCCCCACAAAACATTGTACACAATGTTTATCCCATTCCCAACCAACACAAAGATGCACACATAAACTACATGCAACAGAAGAATTTACTGTATACAGTTACAGTAAAACAATGAAACTGTGCTGCATCCTCTCTTCTGTTGCGGTCTGGCCATAGCGCCTCATCCACATCGCAAGCAATGTTGTCCCTGGCCAAGCAGCGGGAGAAATATCTCTTAGCATGGTGATTCCAGCCATGAAAAGAATCAGATGCTTTATCTCCACATGCGTAATCCATAGCTTGGAGAAGAGGTATACGGGTTTGTGGCTGTCGGTCATACACCTTCCATCTCCATGCAGAAAAAAATTCCTCAATGGGATTGAGGAATGGAGAATATGGAGGGAGATAAACAACTAAAAAGCGTGGGCGGCCAGTGAACCAGTTACGAACCACAGCAGCCCTGTGGAAACTTACGTTGTCCCAAATGACAACGTATGTGGGCTGTTCTGGACCATCTACCTGGTCTAGTGGAATGAGTGTGTTGTGTAGGGTGTCCAGGAATGTGATCAGATGGGCAGAGTTGTAGGGGCCAAGGGTAGCATGGTGATGGATGATGCCATGGTAGCCAAGCGCTGCACACATTGTGATGTTCCCTCCGTGCTGGCCAGGGACTTCAACAATGGCACGCTGGCCAATGATATTCCTCGTCTTTTTGTGAGGTTGAATCCAACCTCATCAATGAAGATGAACTGGTGCTCCACTGCAGCTGCCTCTAGCGCAAGGACTCCCTGAAACACACATGACAATATCAGAAATAAACATGGAGGGGTCACTAATGTGAAGCACAATCATTATGATTACAATATTGAAATATGTATAATTTACTGTTCAGTGTTGAGTGTATGCATCAATTGCGGGACTCACTTGTTGCACATAGTTATATCGCAATTCTTTGACTCTTTCTGAGTTTCGTTCAAATGGCACCCTGTAGACCTGCTTCATCCTGAGATGATTTCTGCGAAAGACACGGTCCAGTGTTGATAGGCTGACCCTACCAATGGTTTGCAACATGTCATTGTTTTCTATTATTTTTCTTTGTATTTGCCGTAATGTTATGGCATTGTTTTCTAGGACCATGTTGAGGATTTCAGTTTCCTGTCAGAGACAGAAGACGCTCCCGACCTCCTCGTGTTGGTAATCTTTCAGTTCTGCCAAACAAATAGTAAAATAATGTGAATACAAAGTAAGTATACATTTCCTAAATACTGGAAACATACTTTACAGTATTTTTACTGTCCAACAAAACCATCCACAGGCAATACTACTACTATATACTCATTGAATACTGATTGTATTGATATGCAGTACTGCCATTTTCTAGTGATAGAAGATTTCTTACCTATTCTCATTTCGGAAGGTCCGGATGATGGATGCTACAGTGTACCTGCTCAAATTTGTCTGTACTCTTTGCCCAGCCTCCCTCATTGTAAGACCATGGTTGACCACATGATCAACCAAAGAGGCTCGGATCTCATCAGAGATTACGGTCCTTGGTCTTCCTCGTCCTCCCCATTCTCCTCGTCCTCCTCCTCTTACTCTCACTCCTCTGGCTCTGCCTCTGTTTCCAATGTTGGCATCCATTGCTCCAACACAGAAGAGCTCACCTGTTGCCCTTTTATGCTAAAGCTCTGATTGCTGATTGTAAAACTGTGTGACAGGTGTTTGCCCTTGTGATGAGTCAGTGTGCATATTTGAATAGCAGTGTGTTCCTTGTGAAAACAAGATATTTTCTGCATGAAAATTGTGCCAACAGCAGAGAATTGTGTGTAGTGTTTTGAAAAAAGTGTGGTTTAGATTTGCAATTTGAGTGCAAAGCAGGAATCGTGCTTGTAGTTGAGCAGAATTGGTTAAGGGGATTTGTGAATCAGTTACATGTTGTGGTAATTGTGTCTCAAGTACCAGAAAATGTGTGAAAAAAAATTGAGAAAAACTGTAATAGAGGTGGAAAGATCACTAAAATTTCCTAATTAAGTACAATTATCAATACTTTGATAATTTTTTACTCAAGTACAAGTAAAAAGTACTAGCCTTAATTTTTACTCAAGTAAAAGTAAAAAGTATCGTAAATAAAATGTACTCAAAGTTAGTTACATTTTTGTCAGTGTAAGGATGGCTACACCTAAGTAGTGCAAAATCACAACACAGGTTCACAACACGCTCGTGTGTGCACGCACACACACACACACACACACACACACACACACACGCAGACTCGTACACATAACACATTAAAATACCACAGTAAACACTAGGCTCAGCTCAGATTGGACAGGTAATGAAAGACATTATGACTTGTAAGTCGCTTTGGACAAAAGTGTCTGCTAAATACATAAACATAAACATACCATCAAGGGAGCCATCTGCCTCGACAGCAGCAGATCCACAGGTTGAGTGTGATGTCCAGTAATCGGAAGGTTGCAGGTTTGATCCCGGCTCCGGACAGAGAATTCTGCTGTTGTGTCTTTGGGCAAGACACTTAACCCACCTTGCCTGCTGGTGGTGGTCGGAGGGACCGGTGGCGCCTGTGCTCGGCAGCCTCGCCTCATGCCCCAGGGCAGCTGTGGTTCATCACCATCAGTGTGTGGATGTGTGTGTGTGAATGGATGAATGATACACTGTAGTGTAAAGCTCTTTGGAGTCCTTACTCTGAGAGGCGCTATACAAGTGCGGGTCATTTATCATTTATCTAAAACTAACCAATAGAGCTCTGTAACATTGTACCAAAGTGAGGACCAGCAAAATGTCCTCTCTTTGGTACAAATGTCTTCAGTTAGCTGGTAAAAAGCTTGTCATTGGTCCTCACTTTGATGTATAGATAAGTACAAACACACACACACACACACACACACACACACACACACACACACACACACACACAAGCTTTTAGCTGAGCTACTGTTAAAGTCAAATTTCCAAAACCAACTTCGAACAGAAACTTCTCTTGCTTGCTTCGTGCCCCTCACCCCCTCGGTCAACAATGTACACAGGATACCGCCGGCCACACCTAACATGCCAAAATATAGACAAAGATTTTAAATTATATATGCTATTGAATATATGTAAATATAACATCTGGCCATTGTCTTTCAAACTGTCTCTGCATCCTACTGGATGACGAACAATGTGACATACTCATCCTAATAAAAAGGAAAGACAACAAAAAATATTTTTAATCAAAGTCAATATAAAGTGTCTATGAATGATAACAAAAAGGTCTAAGAAGAAGAGAATAAAATGTTAAAGTGCAAGGAGCCAATGTCCACATATGTGGACACAGGGCCCTAGGAGGTTAAAGCTTCCCGAGTCCGTGTGAGCTTGTCGTGATGTAGCTGGACGAACCTCCTGGTAATCTGTCACCAGGCTGTTTCCTAGAAAAATCTGCAGGTACTGAAGAAATTAACCACTATGTAAACGTACTTGTCAGTGATCACCTTAAATTGTTGTGTAAAAGCCACAACTCCTTCACTCTGTGCTTACGTGTGACCTCTAAATCCCACAGAGCAGCTAACCAATCCTCGCCCTTCTGTTTGTTTCTGTTCACCTGTGGAGAGTAAAACGAAGTGTTTTCTCCTGTTAGAACAAGCTCAGATAAACCGAAAGCACACATTCGGGACAGAGGTGATGCAGCTACGTGTCATTCAGCACAAACAAGTAGAAACCAACACGGCTGATAGGGGTGTTGACACTTTCTGTGAACTCTGAAAGGCCATTCAGTGAACTTCAGCTGGTGGCAATAAATGCTGCTGCCTTGGACAGAGAATAGCTGCTCTTACTGACAGAGTTGTAGAACAAATCTTACTTTGTGCAGAAAAAAGGAGGGCAGGATGTTGTCTGCTGAAAAAAAAGCTCAGTCACACATCTGATGACTCCCACGTTTCTGAGAACGTGTGGTAGCTGCCAGGAAACAACGTGAGACACGACAGCATTTCTAACTATTATCTCTGATCACTGATGTGATGCTGGAACAACCACACAAACGTGACCTTTGATGTGCATAATTGGATGCTGTGTGATGACACTTCATCTAAATGTTGTTAAAACAGAACTTAGAACTTGTGCTTTCGAAACAAATATAGTGGCATCTGTTGTCCAGAATCGGTGGCATTTCAGTGGCGTTTTTGCTTGTTGACCATTAAAATGTAAGATTGTATGAAGGAAAACAGCTTTATTTGGGAATGTGGCCATTAGGATACTGTAAAACTATCAGCAGAGAGAGTGGAAGAGAAGCAAACAGCTTTAACTTGATCAGCATTCACTTTTTTTCTGTCTCATTTTCCTCTTTACCAGACTCAGAATTCCACTACAAGCCTAAACACAGAAATGTTGCTGTTTTTTGTTCTCCCATCCTTCGACCACGGGTCGGTGACGTC